CTTCCCTGTACATTTCCACAATCAGAATCCCTATACCTTTGTCTAGTATAAGATAAATGTGGTTATGTGGGTTTGTCTCTATGTCCTCTATTCTGTACCATTGGTCTAAAAGTCTATTTTGGTGCCAATACCATGCTGTTTTTGTTATTATTGCTCTGTAGTATAGTTTAAGGTCTGGTATAGCAATACCACCTCCTTCACTCTTCTTGCTAAGGATTGCTTTAGCTATTCTGGGTCTCTTATTTTTCCAGACGAATTTTATGACTGGTTTTCTATTTTTATAAGAATTCCATTGGGATTTTGATTGAAATTGCATTAAATCTGCATGGTCTTTTTGACAATATTAATTCTGCCTATTCAAGAACAAGGTAGATCTTTCCATCTTCTAAGGTCTTCTTTGATTTTTTTCTTTAGTGTTCTGAAGTTTTCATTGTAGAGATTGTTCACCTCTTTCATTAAGTTGATTCCCAAGTATTGTATTTTTTATTTTGATGCCATTGTAAATGGAGTAGTTTTTCTTGTTTCACTTTCAGAGGATTTGTCACTGATATACAGAAATGCCTTTGATTTATGGTTGTTGATTTTTATATCCTGCTACTTTGCTGAATTCATTCACTAGTTCTGGAAGTTTTCTGGTGGAATTTGTTGGGTCTTCTAGGTATAGAACCATATCATCAGCAAATAGTCCTAACTTAAGTTCTTCTTTTCCTATACATATCCCTTTAATTTCTTTCATCTAATTACCCTGCTAGTGTTTCAAGAACTATGTTAAATAGAAGTGGTGAAAAAAGGCATCCCTGTCTTTTTCCAGTTTTTAGAGGGAATGCGAACAATTTTTTTCCATTAAGAATGATGTTGGCCTGCAGTTTAGCATAGATAGCTTTTACAACATTGAGATATGTTCTTGTTATCCCTAATTTTTCTTGTGTTTTGAGCATGAAGGAGTGCTGTATTTTGTCAAATGCTTTTTCTGCATCTATTGAGATGGTTCTTATCTTTAAGTCTATTGATGTGATGAATTACATTTATTGATTTTTGTATGTTGAACCAACCTTGCATACCTGGGATGAACCCCACTTGACTGTGGTACATTATTTTTCAATGTTTTTGTATTGAATTTGCCAGAATTTTAGCATCTATGTTCATTAGAGATATTGGTCTTAAGTCTTTTTTTTTTTTCCTTTGATATGCCTTTGTCTTGTTTTGGAATCAGGGTGGTATTTGGAAGTATTCCCTCTTTATTTCATGGAATAATTTGAGGAGTATTGATAGTTCATCTTTGAAGGTCTTGTATAACTCAGCTGTGTATTAATCTGGTCCTGGGCTTTTCATGATTGGTAGGCTTCTGATGGCATCTTCTATTTCCTTGCTTGAAATCGATCTGATTAACTTGTGTAGATCATCCTGATTCAATTTGGGCAAATTATATGACTCTAAAAATTTGTCAATGCCTTTGATATGTACTATTTATTGAAGTACAAATTTTCAAAATAGTTTCTAATTATCTTCTATATTTCTGTAGTGTTTGTTGTGATATTTCCTTTTTCATAATGGAGATTAGTAATTTGAGTTTTCTGTTTCCTTCTCTTCATTAGCATGACTAAGGGAATAATAAATTTTATTATTTTTCAAAGAACCAACTTTCTGTTTAGTCAATTATTTCAATAGTTCCTTTTGTTTCAATTTCACTGATTTCAGCTCTGATTTTAATTATTTCCTGTCTCCTACTGCTTTTGGTGTGATTTGTTCTTCTTTTACTAAGGTTTTGAGATGTAACATTAAGTCATTTATTTGTTGACTTTCTTCTTTTAAGAAATGAACTCCATGCAATGAACTTTCTTTCCCCTTAACACTGCCTTCATAGTGTCCCAGAGATTTTGATATCTTGTAACAATGTTCTCATTTACCTCTAAGAATTTTTAATCTCTCTTTGATGTCTCCTGTTATCCATTGTTTACTCAATAGCATATTATTTAGTCTCCAAGTATTGGAGTAGCTATTATTTTTAATTTTATCACTGATTTCTAATTTCATTCCATTATGATCTGATAGGATGCAAGGTAATATCTCTAATTATTTGTATTTGCTAAGAGCTGGTTTGTGGCATAATATATGGTCTATTTTAGAGAAGGACTAATGTGCTGCTGAGAAAGTGTATTCACTCATTGATAAATGAAATATTCTATTTATGTCTCTGAAGCTAAGTTTTTGGTTATATTATTGAGTTCTATAGTTTCTTCTTTCAGCTTTTGTTTGGAAGACCTATCAAGTGGTAAAAGATGTGTGTTAAAGTCACCCAGAATAATTGTGTTGTGGTCTATCTGATGCTTGAACTTGAGAAGAGTTTGTTTGATGTATGTAGATGCTCTATTGTTTGGGGCATATATATTTATAATTGTTATGTCTTATTGATGTATGGCTCCCTTGAGCAGTATGTATTGTCCTTCTTTATCTCTTTTGACTATCTTTAGCTTGAAGTCTACTTTATTTTATATGAGGATAGGAAACTCCTGCTTGTTTCCACAGTCCATATGAGTGATATGATTTTTCCTAATCTTGCACTTTCAGTCTGTGGATACCTTTTCCTATGAGATGAATCTCTTGAAGGCAGTGTATTGTTGGGTCTTTTTTTAAAATCCAATCTGACAGTCTATGTCTTTCATTTGGTGAGTTTAGGCCATTAACATTCAGGGTTATTATTGAGACATGATTTGTATTCCTGCTCATTTTTGTTTATTTTTGTTATTTAACTTGACTTGGTTTCTCCTTTGATTAGTTTTTTCCTTTGGTGTAATACCTTCCTCTGCTGATTTTCATTGTTGTTTTTAATTTCTTCCTCAGGGAATATTTTGCTGAGGATGTTCTGTTGGGCAGGCTTTCTAGTTGTAAATTCTTTTAACTTTTGTTTATCATGGAAGGTTTTTATTTCCTCATTAAAACTGAAGCTTAATTTTGCTGGATATAAGATTCTTGGTTGGCATTCATTTCTTTCAGAATTCTTGTTGTGTTTTTCCATGATCTCCTAGCTTTGAGGGTCTGGGTTGAAAAATCTGCTGAGATACGAATTGGTATCCCCCTATATGTGATCTGATTTCTCTCTCATTTGGCCTTTAATATTCTATCATTATTCTGTATGCTAGGCATTTTCATTATAATGTACTTTGGTGTAGATCTGTTATAATTTTGTACATTTGGTGCCCTACAAGCCTCTTCTATTTGATTTTTCCATTTCATACTTCATGTTTGGGCAATTTTCTGATATTATCTCATTGAAGAGATTGTGCATTCCTTTGGTTTGAAACTCTGGGCCTTCTTCCTCTATCCTAATGACTCTTAGATTTGCTCTTTTGGTGCTATCCCATAATTCTTGGATGTTCTGATCATGGTTTCTTGCCATCTTCACTGTGTGTTCAACTTTATTTTCCAGATTGAATACTTTGTCTTTATTATCTGATATTCTATCTTCTAAGTGATCTAGTCTATTGGTGATGCTTACTGTTGAGTTTTTTAATTTGGTTTATTGTTTCCTTCATTATCGGGATTTTTAATTCTTTTTTGTTTTTCAGAATCTCTCTTTCTTGAAGTAATCTTTTGCTACCTGTATTTGCTCCATTATCTCTTTGTTGGTATGACCAATGAATGGCTATATTTGTTCCCTTGTCTCTTTGTTGGTGTTATCAATGATTGCCTATATTTGCTGTCTTATCTCTTTGTTGAAGTGATCAATTTTTGCCTATATTTGCTCATTTGTGTTATTCTTTAATTCATAGATCATTTTAATTATGAACATTCTGAGCTCTCTTCTCTGACATTTCACCAACTACACTGTCCATGGGTTCTGTTATTGTAGTGTCTTGGTTTATTTGGGGCACTTTCCTTTGTTGTATTTTCATGTTGTCTATGTGTCTTCCTTTCTTGCAGTGTTGATCTGAGGTATTACAGTGTCTATCCTATAATTTTATAGTATCCATGCATATTATCTTTACCTCACCTTGATGTATCGAGACCCTGCTGGTGTTCCAGGATGGATGTCACTGCAACTAAAGGTGGTGGCAGCAATAACAGAGGAAACTCAAGAGAGCAATGGAAGTGCCCCAAGATGGATGCTATGACTTTCAGAAATAGGGCTGAAAGGGTGGGCCTTACACTGGCTTTGGGAGGCCTGCTACAAGATGCAGCCACTTCTAGACCTTATTTGTTGTAGCAAAGTAGAGACTACTGCATGGAGAAGGCTATGTCATTGGCTGCAGTGTCCCAAGATTGAAGTGGGTTAGGCCTGGGCTCCCAGGTGGCCAGGGGTGAACCTGTGCCTACCCTGGGCCTGGGCCCACACATGTTGGGGGAGAAGAATCTGGATGATAGTCCATTATATGATCTGTATAGTAGGTCCTTACCAGATAGATCATTTGTATATATTTATTCCCATTCTGTTACTGACTTTTCATTTTCTTGATAACCTTATCTTTTGAATCCATATTTAAATATATATGTGCTGTATCATTAATCTTTTGGTTGAGAGGTCATATAAAACCCCAAGTGGAAATACCAGCACCACCACCATCACCATCATTATTATTCAATTGCAAAGTATTTACCTCAGATATGGTTTTTATTTAGAGCTTTGTAGGTTGTCATGGGATTACAATGTAAAGCTATGGCCCATTTCTTAAAACATTTATTCTTTTTGTTTTATTTTGCTTTGGTAGCAGGCATTTAATCAGGGGTATTTAACCTTTTAAAAAATATTTTATTTAGAGTCAGGATCTCTCTAACTGGCTTAGGTTCTCACTGAATTCCTGAGACTGGCTTTGAACTTGTGATCCCCCCACCTCAGCTTCCTGATCCACTGGGATTATAGGTGTGCACCACTATGCCCAAATTAAAACATTCATTCTTTCTGGAAAAATGAACTGGAGAAGATGGCACAGTTTCAGAAGCAAACAAAAGTTGAGTCCTGCTGAAGTACTGGATATGCCACTCAGACCTTCCTTGTCTTCCAGGATTGCGAGGCCTGATGCTGTCAGTTATGATAGCTTCTCTCATGAGCTCCCTAAATTCCATCTTCAACAGTGCCAGCACCCTCTTCACCATGGACATCTACACGAAGATCCGGAAGCAAGCATCTGAGAAAGAGCTCATGATTGCAGGAAGGTAAATGCAGAGTCATCCATCATGCAAAAGCTTAAATGATCATAGAATGATCAGTTAGGAAAGATTGGATGATGCTAGTGGAATGACATTGGTGGCTTGTTATATTTGCCCTTCAATGATATTTAACTTTAAATTGGAGAATTGGAGGTCATAAATTGCTCTGGTCATCAATCCAGTTGTCAATGGGTCTTTTATTTTATTTATTTATTTATTTATATGTGATAAAAATTGAGCCCATTTACTGTCATAAATGAGTTAATCAACACAACAGGACTCTGAAAATATCAAAAATTGTCAAATGGATCAGGTGTGTTCATTATCATGATTAGCCATTAAGCAAATGCTCTGGACAGAGGATTCATAGAAATGTGTCTCTTCTCTTTGTCTCCAGCTCCCTCTCTCCTTAATCTCCTTAGTACTGGGAATGTCTACCAATGACCTACAATCACAACCATTTTTGTTTTTTTAAATTTTGCAACAGTGTCTTGCTCTATTGTCCAGGCTGGCCTCAAATGCAATTCTATAAATCAACCTCTTGAGTCACTGGGATTACAGTGTGTGCCTGACTGTTGATATGTCTCTTCAGGGGGCTAAAGCACTCTCCTCTGGTCAGGTGGAACAAACCCTGGGATGTTAGTTAAAGAAAAGATTCCCAATGAGTTCAGGAGGGATATGGGCTGTCTCTTCATAGGTCTCTGGGCTAAAGAAAGGCAGCCAAGGGAGATCTGACCAGCTCAGAATCTACTACTCTGTATTATAGAAAATAGTACTACTACCTTGACTGGCTTTCCCTTAAAAAGGCACTTACTAACTTTCCTTGGTATTTGTAAGGCTCAAATGCAAAATGGAAAAGAAGATCACTTTGTTTCTTTGTACAGATCTGGATCCCCTAGTCCTAAGAATATGTTGGGTCTCACACTTCCTTATATCCCATAACTGCTATCTTGTGGCTTATCTCAGTCTCCTATATAAGCTCACAATGATGTGAAACAGTTTGAAACTCTACTGTGTGGACTGTAAGAGCAATCAGGGACTCAGATAAGGGAGAAGTGAGCATAATATGGCATACTTGGGAAAGGGCCCTGGAGGAGGAAGAACCTTATCTGGGTTCAAAGTGGCAGGTAGAATTTGGGTAAATAGGGGACAATGGAAGGAAATTTCAGAGTGAGAAATATATAAAAACACAAATTTAAGATCAGTTTAAGACTCTTTTGCCTTAAATACATGTGAGGTAAGTGAATCAAAGCTTTTTATAAATTCTTTTATTAGTGTATTATATTTTTAGATAATAGTGGTACATATTTTTAGAGGCATATAACATAATTTGCTGCATTTCAATCCCCAGTTCTTTCCCTTTCCCTCCTCTTCTCTCTCTTCCTGATTCCCTTCTCCTATTCTAGTGCTCTTTCTTCCATTTATTTGTTTTGTTGGATTTTTTAAAAACATTTTTTAGTTGTCAATGGCTCTTTTATTTTATTTATTTATATGTGGCGCTGAGGATTGAACCCAGGGCCTCACACATGCCAGGCAAGTGTTCTATCACTGAGCCACAACTCCAGCCCTTGTTCTTTTTTTTTTCAAGAGAAGCATTACAGTTATACACAAAATGAATTTCATTGTGGTGTATTCTTAATTTGGTCAATTTCATTCTGCTGTTCTTCCCCTTTCCCATTCCTCCTTCCTCTCCTCAATCCTCTTCCTCTATTCTGCTGTTCTTCCTTCTATTTTTCACAAGATCCCTTTAATTTATAATTAAATAAAGAGCCAAGTAATAAGAGATTATAAGATAATCTCCAATCTTTTTAGGACATGGTAAAACTCAAGAGGAAGAGAGCTGGAAATACCTAATTGTGTCCCTTCCTATCTAGACTATTCCTTTATAAACTTTCTTTGGCTTGTTTTAAATTAAATTATGAGGAATAAGGAGGAGAAAATAATAACACTAGGTTTTTTTTAACTAGTTATTGAATTACTACTATTTGTGAGGCATTTTACTCTCACTAATGTTTATTCCAATTTTTCATGGTCAGTCACATTTTTCTTTGTCTAGAGTTGGAGAATTTGAGATTCAGAGAGAAGCTAAGCAATGTGTCCTATATTACACAAGGATAGAAAAAATTTTAATCCAGGACTGTCTTGCTCCAAAGTGTATAACCTTGTCCCTGTACTCTACTGCCTCTCTAAGTGGGATTTTTGAATGGGATTGATTTGGCCTAAATCACTACTGAAAACCAAGTGTGTTTCATTTACCCATAGCCACAGATGAATAGGGAGGAAAAAATACTCAAGAATGAATTTGTTTATTAATTTTTCTTGCTGTGGTCATGTTATATATGTGTATATTTGTGCATATGCATATGTGTGTGTATATGTATGTGTGTGTATATATATATGTATGTATATATATATATA